AAAAAAAACAGAAAATATAAGTTTAAGGATATAATAGGTTGTATCATTATAGACTTATCCTTCGCCTCTCCTCAAGAAGTCAAAGTCAAGTTGTGCTTATCTGAAAACTTTAATTTATTATATAGCAAAAGTAGCTCTCTTGTGCGATTTGCCATAATCTGTAACACTATTCTGAGAACATTCACTGACTAGTAACTGACCAGCGTGCACTCACCACCGCAGCTCCACCCTGAACTCTTCAAACCCACGAGAACACAAACCTGGAACATCAGCCGCTAGAAATAATTGTCTTTTCTCTCAGAGAATATTAGTACGCTGCAGTGACTAGGTCACTTTAAAGTATTAAACTTCTAGGAGTTAGTTCAACAGGTCAGTAACTCCTGAGACACTAAGGCCCATCAGTGACGACGAACAGAGGAAGTGTCAGAAAGTTACAACACAAAAACACAATGGTACCATTTACCATAGGACTCATCTCAAAGGTCTAATAAAAGCATTCAAAGCGCTTCCTCAAATTAAAGCTATGGTAAAAATCAATCACGTGAAGAGCTAATCAACATTAAGTGTTATAAAAATTGCACTGCATTTCAAGAACTAACAGTAGAAAATAAAGTCAATAACAAAAACCTTAACAAGACTGTCTCTGGTGCATAAGTGTGTTCAGACACTGAGGTTTTTAGAGACTGTGGCGCTGAGCATCGAGACTGACGGTCCAGTTCTCCATCCCTGAAACTGAGACCCTAGCTAAGAACCCAGCTGCTGTGAAGGGGGGGCAGGAGTTATAGGGGTGTGATGAAGTAGTCTCCAGGCTTCTGGTAGCCATGTGCTTGCTGGTTGTGTGTCTGCATCTGCTCCTGCTGCTGCTGGATGATCTGTCGCACTTCCTCTTCCAGCTCTGGCGGGATGATGAGCTGGTCGTCTGGGTCCGGCTGGGCGGGAGCGTTGAAGTAGTCCCTGACGGGGGTGTCGGCCGCCTCCTCTATAAGGTCCTGGCTCCTCCCATTGCAGGCTACAGAGCCATTGGCTCGAGCTCTGCGGCCCAAAGTCTCTGAGCGGGCTTCCCCGCTGAGGCAAGGGGAAGGAGACAGAGAGGAGAAGGTGTGAGATGAGGGCTCATGATGTGAGGCCACAGCAGGAGGGAGGTTTGTGCTTGGTTGAGCATGAGTGTGTGTTTGGGGTGCCGGGCAGTTGTGGCGTTGCAGACAATGGACGTCAGCCTCCACCTCCACACGGCTGCCATTAGAGAAGACACCGGCAATGGGCTCCTCATCCTCGCTGTCCAGCCCGTTGTCAGATAGAGCTCCAGAGAATTGTCTCTGGAAGCTCCCCACTCCACAGGTGGGTCTCCGTAAGCTGGCTCGTCCTGGCAGGTTCGAGTGGGACGTCAGGGGCTCGGTCTGAGACGGCGGCTCCTCAGAGGATGCCGTGGATCCCACCTCGCTGCTCATCTCAGATGTGCTGAACTCACTGCTCAGCTCGCTGACTGTTCCTGAGGAGGCCGGTGGCAGGGGTATACCCCCGTCAGCGCTCGCCAAGTAGGGGTTTGTGCTGGTGTGTGTGCCAAGACCAGGGCTGGGAGGTGGAGGTGGTGGCTCACAAAAACAGCAGCAATCTTCAGTAATACTGAGCTGGACGACGACAGCGCTGAGGCTGTCAGAGCAGCCATAGCTCTGAGCCAGCGTCACCAGCTTCTTAGCAGCAGCGAGAACGTCTGGCACGTTCCTGACAGCCTCCACCGCCTCACTGGGAGACAACATGTCCCACAGTCCCCGGCTGCCCAGGAGAAAGAACTCATCCTGCGGGGTGAGTGTCACGGTGGAAACTTCAGGTCGGGGGGTCACAGAGGGGAACAGGAAGGAGTAACCCATGATTCTGGTAGAGTCGGTTACACCACTGACCTTGTTGTCCTGCAGAGGAGAAGAAAGGGCAGTTTATATCTTTTTTCCCAGATCAATTCTCAGCTCTGCACATTAAGGCTGCAACTAATGATGATGTTTATTATCAGCTATTATCATCTATTACAGTTATGAAACAGTCAACTGACAGTGTCTACTACTTTTTCAGCATAAAATCCAAATATGCACTGGGTTTGGCTTCAAAACTATCATGAGTTCATTTTGCTTTTTTAGATAATCTTTGAGCTCTGGTAAATTTCAGTGCCATTTTTTCACAATATTCAGAACAAATGTTCTTTTATGGGTTAAACAATTATTCAATTGATCAGATAATTATTTATAAAGGATGTATTTACTTACAGTCAATAAGCAAATCTGTCTGTTCATTGTTTCTGTTCTAGTGCTCACAACATCTGAAACATGAATGAGCACAGTCTTTACCTCTGTGATGATGGCATTACGCTGCCGGACCCTCTGGTACTCCAACTCCTCTTTCACAGTATGGATGGTCGAGAGTTGCATAGCTTTGCCGTCTCGGCACAGGACAGCCTGGCACCTGCCCACGTTGGCAGCCTTCAGAGTGAAGCAGCCGCTGTGCTCACCAGGAGCCACCGGGTCATGTCTGATGTGACACAGAGCTGCTGAGCCGCCCATCCTCTGGCCTGCTGTGCCCAACTTCCTGCAGGAGAGCAACACAGACATGCTCCATGATCAGAGTCACTGAGATGAGCTGGGGAACAATCTAGGTGCAGCTGAGCTTCTTTTCTGGGATAACCGTAGTGTGTGCATTTACCTTTGCATGGTAAGGAAAGTGTTAATCATGTAGTCTTCCTGCCTCTGGCAACGGTGGAGCTCCTCTGCTAGTACATCTCCCATGGTGCACTGCAGTAGGTAAGGCACCTCCACATTCCTGTCTCCATCAAACACTCCATACAGAGCTTCACAAGTCCCACAGAAGCTGTCCAGGGCCAGAGCAGCCACACATAGCCTGCAAACAAAACAACTCAAGTTACTTACAGAGCACATTAACAACTAGACAGCACTCAGAGAGCTCAACCTCAGCCAAGGCCAGTTTCCTCATAATGCCATAAAAGAAATATTCCCATGATAGTTTGACCCTTGTAATATGATTGCTTGATCATAAAAACCTGGAATGATTATATCTTTATTAGTTTTGAAAGTCATTCAGTTCAATTTAATTCAATTCATTTTATAGGCCATAGCACCAAGTCACAACAACAAGGACGTCGTAAGGTCTAGACTTTACAGTATTACAGGGAAAATCCAACTAAATCCTACCTTGAGCAAGCGCTCGAGAAAAACGACAGGTGGAAAGGTGAAACAAATAGTTCCTGCACATACCGGGATGGAGAGGAATGAACTGGATATGCAAAAGCCACACTTAAAAAAAAGGTGTTTGTATAGCAATAAAACTTAGTAAGGCTGAGATTAAAAATTTATTCAAAAGGAAAATTAAAAAGAAATGGCAAGAACAGGAGCGTACTGGACTGAGCAGAATAATATAGTATTCATTGAGTGAGTTTATTTTATTTTAGTAGTAGTAGGTAGGCGTTGTTCCACACTCCAGTCTAGAAGGTGGTGGTAATGCACCTAAATCTGATCGACAACTGCCACTGAACAGCAGAAGAAAAAGGCATGGGCCCAATGCCAGTCGACGGTAAAGGGAACAACAGGTATACCGGTTGTTAGGCTCCAACAGTGGAATAGTCCCACGGTAATCGTATTCACTTCCTGTTTGTTGTGGCTGCTACCAGATTGTTTACGGATTAAGCGCACACATTTCTGTTTATCTTAACATCAGCAAATTTTTTGAGTCACAACATACGCCTGCACTACTTAAGTACCCGCGTTACAGAATTTCTTGCTAATTTCCAAATTTAACTTGCTACTTTAGGTCAGCTACTTAAATGCTGGCTTAGCTAGCTTAGAAGCTAGTAGCTTAGTTGACAGCAATGGCTTCCCCCTCTTCCTCTCCCCCCTTTCTCTTGCTCGGATGGTATGGTAAGGTTATAGTAAGGTTGTTATTCACGTCGGCGATAATGACTCCCAACTTTGCCAGTCGGAGGTCACTAAAACTAATGTTGAAACGGGGGTATAACTTCACTAAAACAATGTCGGACTCCGTGGTTTTCTCTGGACCCTGCCAAATCTGAACAGTGAAGACATGCCCCACTCCAGTCTAAAAGGTGATTCATGTTAGATCACCTACTGACCTGACTACTTTTAAATCATTGCTTAAAACATATTTATTTGGCTTGGCTTTTAATACACAGTAGGGCCTGGTGCATTCCTTTCAATTTATTGACTGTGTCTGTGTTATTGTGCTGTTTTATTTTTGCACTGATCTTATTTATTTTATTTTAGTTATTGTGATTTTATTATGCCCATGTAAAGTACTTTGGTCAACTGGATGTTTTTAAAGTGCTATATAAATAAATGTGATATGATGTGACATGTTTAGCTGCATGTCGTCATTAAGCCGCTGGCTGTTTAGGTGGTGTACAAAAAACGATGTGGGCTTCATAGACAACTGGAGACGGCATCCACCCTACTTTGGATGGTGCGGCTCTCGTATCAAGATGAGTTTATTTTACAACCTACATTATGACAAACCAGAGCTGAGACCAGGACACAGGGTCGCAGTCTTACACGCCTCTCTGCAGCTTCTGCCCACCCAAAACTCCCAGTACCCCATAGACACTGCGTCTGTCCCCCGACCACATAAATTATATAAATCAAAAATTAACTCAAGAGATATTAAATGATATCAAATGATATTAAATATCAGACCTCTCTCATCTAAATTTCTGTTAGTGAACGGTTTGATAAGTGAACATCACATTGATTTACTGTGTCTGACTGAAACCTGGTTACAGCAGGAAGAAAATGCCAGTATAAATGAATCCACCCCACCTGGTCACAGAAACTGAGTGACCGTTACTTCTGTCAGATATGCAACATCCCTTTCCAGATGTGCTGACCACAGGTTTTTCAAGTGCTGCTATGGAGAATAAAAACAGGAACCCTCACCTCTTTACTGTTTAGCAGCAACAAGCTGAGTGGGTAGTTCTTACACAATATCCTGTAAAGTTTTTATATAAACTTGTTTCTTTTTTAACTTTGATCAAGAGCTTTCATTGGATGTTTTTACTTTGATTCCTGTATTTTAGTGTGACTAGAGATCCATAACAAGTGAGCAAATGGATACTGACTTGTTTTTGACTCCAGAGGCCTCAGTGTAGCCGTGGCTCCACACTGCAGGGGCCCCGTGGCTCTCACTCACACGTGGAGCAGAGGGTGAGGGGTCAACTCTGAAGCAGCGGATGTTACTGCAGAGAGGCAAAATAAAAAGATTAGCCTGACGGGTTTGTATTTTAAACACTGTTGCTACAGCAGTGTTTGTGTTTGAGGCTCATACTTGAGCAGCTCCAGGCTCTTGTGGTCCAGGTTGAGGCGGGGATTTCCTGTCAGGTCCAGCTCCTGCAGTTTTGGAGGAAGCGTCTCTGGCAGAGTGACCTCAGTTAGCTCGTTGCAGCTCAGGTCCACACACTGACAAAGAAACAGACAGACAGAGCCAGTAGAGCTGAAAATCTGGAGACCTCGGGATTCATGTGACTGCAGTTCAGAGCATATGAATCAGTGGATTTTTGCAGGACAATGAATGGCAATTTCCTTGTACAGGGAGCATGCTACCAATTCTGTAATTATTAAAGCCTCTTTGAAAACTGGCAAAGTTTTACTTTAATGCCAAATCATTCAAGACAAACCACATGCAATATTGTTATTTTTCTCACTCTTATTTCACATACATACTCACATAGACAGGAGTATGAAACCATCACTTTGCTTTAGTGAAAGGCAGAGATCAGGGAGTTGCTGGGAAATAAACCAACCCAATGAAGATGAACACAGAGGTCGAGTCATAGACACAGATAAAGGGGGGATAGAGGGAGCTCAGTTTTGGTCGTCGGAGTGAAAATGATGCTGATTTCCATCTCTAATATCCAGAACTGATTCCACAGGCTGATACAGATGATTAAGGATATTTCATGTGGATGCATGTCTTGACAAAAACTGAGCAATGAGGCAAGAAAATTGTATGTGTGCAGCTTTGTTTAGAAGGACCCACCACAGCTGAATGAATGCATAAAATCCTTCCCCTGTATCTGACTAACCTTGATCTCAGGCAGCTGGAGGACTTCGGGGAACGTGTTGATGTAGTTGGAGTGGGCAGAGAGTGTGTGCATGCGCTGACAGCTGAGGATGGTGGTGGGCACGGCCCTCAGCCTGTTGCCGCTCAGGTCCAGCTCCTCCAGCTGCTCCAGCTGTGCCAGTTTACTGCAGGAGTTGGAGGTACAGTTGTATCAGAGCGCGGGCACTGCAGACTTTGTTTTTGGTAACCACATTCATCAAACCCATGTCTGTTGAGAACTAAACCTGATTCTGAAGAAAGACTGTGACTGGAGACTTAAAGAAACATGTTTTTAGGACTACAACTTGTAAAAGTATAAGAATGTGGAATGGAGTGGAGGAAGACGATTGATCTGCCGTTAGGGCTGCAATATTTATCGCATCATGATTTAGATCCCTGTGTGATGTCAGTGCACATGACAATAAACCTGCCATGCTTGCCTTAGCACAGAGATGCCTTTCATCAAGCTAAGTGCTTCCCTTTCCTTGTTAAGCTGCGTTAACCAATAACTGCAACTAATAACTGCAAAGTGATTTATTTCCACCTCAACTGCTATTTGGCACTAGGTGTACAGGGCAGCAAGTGCAATGTTTGAAAAATAGTTGCAAGACGGCACAGAATATCTTTTGCAATGTCAAAGGTGTTGGATTTATATTTGCATCAGTCTTCTCTTCCTGTCTACAGCTCATCACGTGATGTAATGCAGCAGAAACCAAAGCACAGAGTAGTTCACTACTCTGCTCCACTGTGTGAAGACATTTTTAACCAAATTAGAGCAAAACCTATTGTCACGTCTCCAGCTTCCCAGTTCCACATTCCTTTAACAAGTTACCAGGACACAAAACTGAAGAACAATGTATGGAAGGAAATCACGGACATATGTAGCAATACTTAGTACAACAGATACATCTGAAAACAACTGTCCCTCAGAGCAGATGATGTAATTTACATGCTCAACACAACATGCCCAAAGAACTACAGTCACTGAAGACCACATACAGCCAGCTGCTTTGAGTCCCCTATGTGTGATCGCATCGTAAAAGCCAGATGGGAGAATAGTTTTAGAGCCTGAACCTAGAGAACCAGATGTTTTCTTATTTTAAATGTGTCCTTCACTAGAACCTTTTGGCTTATTGTTTAAATAAGAAACTCAATGTCTTTGTGCATTTTAGCTTAAAGGAGCAACAGAGCATATAAAAATGTTACATATATGTTGGTATACATCAATACATGGAGTTGAGTAAAGTACTGTACCTTGTGGTGAAGGTCTGCAGCTGATTGTAAGCGAGGTGAAGCACCCTGAGCTGTGTGTGCCCTGTCAGCAGAGGGATGCTCTTGTCTGACAGGCTGTTATTGGTCAGGTACAGCTCCTCCAGGCTGCTGAAGCTATCCTCTGATAGGCTGGCTGCAGGGAGGCTCTCCAGCCTATTGGCCGATACATTCAGGTACCTCAGGCTGTGAAGAAATCCCAACAAAGAATGTAAACTCAGCATTGAACAAATGAGTTTAAATTGATAGGTCGACAGAAAAAAAATAGAGCGGCAGATGAAAGGAAGATGAGGTTATAATGAGGTACATAAAGAAAAATCAAATGAGGAAAAAAGTAAGCAATGATCTTGTGTTGTGCGCACCTCTGTGCTTTGATGAACAGGTTGTGTGGCAGCTCTGTCAGATAGTTGTGTTGGAGGTCCAGGACCTCCAGCTGTGACCTCTCCAACGTCTCAGCCAGCTGACACACTTGGTTCCACCCTGCCAGCAGTTTTCTCAGGCTCCCACTGGACAGCAGCCTACAACACAAACAATACAGCGAGTTCAGCCTGTGTGTGTGTGCGCTGCAAATCAGTCAGTGGGAACTCTGGTTAAAGGCCTTTTCTTTAGTGGCCTAATTTTCCACTGAGGTTCAATAAGTTCAGCTTATGTTGAATGAACTGCTGAATCATGAACAACTTGAGGGAGAGGATGAAGAAAGTGCTCGAACATGAGTTGGAATTACATCTGCGTGCCATGTGGCCTGTAGCTGGGCACAGTGACTTCTATCATGATGACAGTATCATCATCCATGTGTGAACCCAGGAAACCTCAGATCTACTCAGTGAAGTCAGCCAAGGCACCAGTGCATGTTTTTAATGTGTTTAATCACTGAAAATAGCATAGTGTGGGCGTGTTGCTACAAGTACTGATGAGAAGATGGAACACAGTGCTGAAATAATGTGAATTTAAAGACTTATGAGACCTTAATACACTGCTCGGTGGTTTGTAATACTCTGAGTGAAGTATTTCTAACTCTAGAAACTGATGACCGCCATCCTTTTACCCCTATCTTAATGAGTGCAACAGAAACATTGATTCATGTTGCAGGGTTTTCTACTTAAAATGCATATTTTTGGCTGGTCTAATCAGTGGTCATCACCTGGCAGGCTCCAGTCTGGCTTTAAAAAATACAACTTTGTCTGTTCCTCAACTCAGGAGGACATTCAGTGACTGGTCTTCCTGGAATAGCTGAATACCTCTGGCCTACGCTGTCAGAAGACATTACTTCAAACGCTGAGGCAGCACAGTACTGTACTCAACTCCATGTATCGATGGGTCTGAACAATTTGACATAACCTTTGAGATGCAGATATGTCTGACAGCTGGTGTTGGCTGGTCTTAAGTATACATGATATGAACATTTAAAGATCTGAAGCAGCCTCCCACCGTTTCCTTCAAGATGAAGTGTAATAACTTTGGTGATCCCTTTTCGTCTAGCGCCACCATCAGGACAAACTTTTGCAATGATATGTAATGTCATGAACATGACAGCATGCTGATGTTAGTGTTTCACTCAGTCTACAGCCTGATAGTTCAGCTGTAGACTCTTGGTCTTGCTGATACAGTTTTGGCATTTTATTAACCTCTTTTCACTGATTATTAGTCAAGTTAATTTTATTTATACAACCCAAACTAACAAATTACACATTTGCCTCAAAGAGCTTTACATTTTGAACAAACAATGAATACCACACCCATTATCCTTAGACTCTCAGGTCAAATAAGAAAATTTCCAAAAGATAACTTTTAGGGAGGAAAATAAAAACAACCTGATGAATTCATTATTAATGATGTGACGCTTGCATACAGGTGTGCTGTCAGCTGACTGTATGCCAGGCATTAGGTGTTCTATTTAAACACTTTTGGCATTTTATGACCTCACTACCTCACTGTTCATTTGTGCCAGGTGTTTAGTGTGTGCTGCTCACCATACTGGCAGCTCAGTAACAGAATTATGGCTGATGTCCAACACCTCCAGTCGGCTGCTTTCACACACCCAGTCCGCGACACAGCTGAGCTTGTTCCTTTTAACAAAAACAAATACAGTGAGCACCCAGCACACAGACTTCTTGTCCACACTGTAAATCGGACAGTGAAATGTTCATATTAAGTCTGTGTACCAAGACAAATCCAGAAGTGTCAGGTTTTCTGGCACGGGCTGCACCTCCAGCTGCTTCAGCTCTATAAACACAAACACAACATGCACAACTATATAGTCTGAGTATAGACAAAGACATGGTGTCAAACACCATCTGTTTAACACATAATAACACTCAACCTACAACACATAATAAGTGTCACTACCGTTGTGTGCAGCATGCAGACTCTTCAGGGCATTGCCACTGACTCTGAGGACAGATAGTGCATTTCTGTCACAGCGAAGCAGCTCCAGCCTACAGAGAGGCCTGGCATCCAGCTCCAGTAGACCAGTATCCCTTAGGTCCAGCTGGATGATGTGGACCAGCTGCTCTGAGTCTCCCACAGTCACTTTTTGAAGTGGGTTCAGTCTGTTTGAGAAAGGACACAAGGATGGTAAAACAGTCACTGATTGGTGTTCTGTTGACTTACTAATCTGTTAATAAAGATTATTTGGTGTTCAGATTTCAACAAGGCAAAAAAAAAACCAAACAGGCAGTGACGTGGAAACACCAAGCAGATTTTCCCTGCAGCATCTCAGGAAGCATCAGATTTCAGACAAGCTTTGTTCCAGTATTACTACAAATGTCAGAGCCAGTGTGGTTAGTCTAACCTGAGATCTATGTAGCGAGAGGGCAGCCACTGCAGAAAGGCCATATGCAGGACACAGAGCTGGTTCCCTGCCAGGCACAGTCTCTCCATGCCTTTGAGCTTCTCCAGGACAGGGGGGATACAGCTGAAACGGTTGAAGGATAAGCCGAGGTAGGTCAGGCCCTCCAGATAGCCCAGCTCCACAGGCAGAGCGCTCAGAAAGTTTCCATCCAGGAGAAGAGTCTGCAGGCTGGACACAAACAACCACAGACACTGCATTTGTCAGGGCAGACATCTGGTGCTCAGCCAGCTCTTTATTTAATAAAGAGAGGGACTAATCTGCACACAAAACAATTTCTGAGGATGCATTCTAGTCTCAGGAAAGTGCCTGGCAAATTATCATTATCATTCACATCAGCAATTAATAATAAAATCAATAACTTCAGCCTGGGTTCATCGTTTTCTTCCAGCCCACTTACTTGTGCACGGTTCCTACTTCTGCAGGCAGAGACGAGAGATGATTCCCAGACAAGTTTAACTCCGTAAGAGAGCCGATGTCACACAAGGCCAGGGGAAACTCTGACAGAGCGTTATTTGACAGACTGACGCTTCTCAATTTACAAAACCTAGAGAGAGTTGAAGTAGGGACATTGCGAGAGACAGAAACAGGAAGAGAAAGACAAAGAGGGGCAAATATGAATCTCTCAGTATTGTAATCAAACTTTGGGCTTCTTCTGAATTGAGACACTAACAAAAGCAAATGTTTTGAAAACTTTTTAGTAGTTGCATAACACCTGTCTCATAAACAAGGAAAGTTACCAGGAAGGAAACCTGTGCCTGGTCTTAAGGATACAGCAGCATAACACTTAGAGGACACAAACTATTTAAAGCTTAGTGTTTATACAACAAAGTCTTAACCCTGACAATGCAGCATGTGGTTCAGGTGTGTGTGGCTTCCCTGGCCTAACCTAATCCAGTTCATAGGGGTCAGTGTGAGTGGTGAAACAGGACCCAGATTCTCCTGAGGGAAAGTCAGAGGCATACGGCAGGAAAAAAGGCTTTCCTCCAAACACTGTCTGGGAAGCATGTGTTTATGGAGAACAAAGGCAGTATATATTCAGCATGTATTCATTCACAAAATGTGGCGGATGAAGATGGCAAAGATCCGGGGAGAGAGAAATCACTGTGAGGTAAATATTAAACCAGAGGCCTGAACCTAAAGAAGAAAAGGGACTGAAGCGTGAAACAAAGTTATTACACCAACTATGCAAAGTTTGTTTTAATGTGAAAACTGAATCTATCCTATCTATCCTTTCCTTTTGCATTTAACTTAGATAAGTCCAGTCCAGTGTTAACACCACTTTGTCTTGTGGCTGTGTTCCTGATTATTTTGAAACTGATATAGTCAAACTGCTTTTAAAGAAATCTGCTCTTGACCCCTCTAACTCTGTTTAACTGCTGCACTGTGTCTAAATTACCTTTTTCTCTCTCTTGATGAGACCCGGTGCATACACGTGCACCCACACTATCACTTTCATGCCATTTACATCCACACTGAAAGCAAAACCAGAAGAGGAACAGCTGAATCTCTTCCAGCTAGCAAAGAGCAAAACTGCTGACAGCATCATCTGGCCAGAAGCGAGAGAGATGCAATCCAGTTACTGTGCTGCTGCACTGAGATGTCAATCCAGCATGTTTTATAAAGTTGTGTATTAAGTAACAAACACAAATGAATGATGACACCTGCTCCGAGTGATCGAAGAGTGAGTCAGTGGTGCTACATGGTCCCCAAACAAGTTTTATCTCACTGTTTTCCATGTCTACACTAAAAATGTGTGGTTTATTTATATGGATTTTGTTTTTCCTTATGTCCTGCACATATAGTGAATTGACAATAAAAATCTTTGATTTTGATCTTTTGGAAAACCAGGTTACTGTTGACAAAAAGCAAAAGGCAGGTGAAGATTACAATTTTCAGTTTTAGCTGGATTTGTGTCAATGTGGTCTTAAAATAGAAATGACTCCACTGCATTAGACGGTGACACCAGCAACCAATTTGACATAGTGACCTGGAAAACAAGGAACAGCCTTCAGCCCGAGGTCAGGTGTCTGATGTTAAAACTCTCTTCACCACTTCAGCTCTCTTTCAATCATGCAAACCACACAGTCGCCTATGCTCACGTCATCTGTAATTTGATCTAAGCCACTTCCTCTTTAGACCATATGGTCACTCCCCAAGACAGAAAAACACCAAGGGACATTCCACATCCAAAAGAGAGAACAGCAAAGAGGAAAATCCTGCTGTTCATCACCCGCCCCCTCCTACTGCTGTGTTTTTAAACACACAGGATGGTGGGGACTGACTGCTGGTGTACTGATGACAGAGGCCCACCTGGTGAGTGCTGGAACACCTTTGTGCGGGGACATGAAATTGTTTTTGAGATTGAGGTGGGTGAGGTCCTGGCTGTAAAACAGCTGAGCGGGCAGCTCCTCCAGGCTGCAGCACGACATGTCGACTGAGTTCACCCTCTGGGACACGATCTGACACAGTGAAGGGCGGACAGGACAACATGATGAGCAACTTGTGACGATGACAAGTTCACAAGAGGCCATTGTTTAAAACACTGCCATCATCATCATGACCTTGAAATTATGTGTCAATAGGATTGTAAAAACTGAGGCAAAGTGTACAGTTAACACACAGTACCTTTGAGGCTGTCCTGTGCCAGCGGAGGTGCTCTGTGTACGAGTCATAGCTGATGTAGTAGGTCTGACTCTGAGGACCAGCTGAGCTGAGAGCCAGACAGTGGCTGTGCCTCTTCACGTCCTCCACCTGCAGCAAAGACCACATTTTAGTTTCCTCCATATTTTTATTACATAAATCTTCCTTTCTCTAGCCTACTCAGTGACTGAATGATAGCACCATTTAGACCTCTGACCTTTGAGTTTATCTAAAGGTGCATCTAAAATGGGTCATAAAACATGAATCCATCTGTTGCTGCAGAATAGTGATTCATTTAATTTCTAACTTGAGAATTCACACAGCACAGTGCAGAGGAGTGTGAGCTTTTATGCAAGTCCATCTAAAATGAAAACATCCAGCACGGCTCTTTTCAAACATACCATGCTCTATTCGCCAACGTGTTCGGCTCTCATGCCTTCATCAGAGTAGCGTCTGGACTCGACTGGTCGGCCATGTTTCGATCATAGAGCTCTGCGATATGTTTTAATTTTGGATAAATAAATATTCTACAAATATATTTCAGTGCTTTCCGGAGCCTCACATTGCTGCTCCTGCCTAGCATGTTTAGAATTCCTCATGCAGTTATCTCTGGTTTGGATGTTAAAAAAAAAAAACTCTCAAATTTAGAGTCACATCAAGCCCTATATGTTGTAGTATTTAAAAAAAAACCTGCTCATCATATTAAGTTAATATATGAAGAATGGTTTAATTGTTACAAAATATTGTGGCTTTCTTAAAGACATTTTTTGACATTTGGGCTACATAAGATGACTGATACCAATATGAAGCTGGAACCAGGAGAGCAAAGCTTCTGGTTCTGGTTTTACGGGCAGCTGGATACTGGAACTATTCCTTGGCCAGGCACAGTAGCTTCCAGGACTCTTCACCCTAATAGGTAGTCAGCTGAGAGTCCAGGAAGTCACTGCGACCCACCAAGAATTACTTCTAGTCTTTATGCTCTGCAGATGAGGGAACATAGCCTGGTGAAGGCAGGAGGACCACACAGCTGCAGTGAGGTGCAGGGCCTCTCAGCTCACAAACAAAAATGTTCTGTACCAATGGTCTAGTCCACAGAGAGGAATTCTGCCCTTTTAAGGCTGGCGCCTAGTCAGAATACTAGTCTTGCACGTTGAAGGTTGGAAAACACAAAGTACCTTGCCCCCGATGAGAGGAAGAATGTGCATCTTGCCAGTGTGGGCGTGTTTCACAGAGGAGACAATGAGGCAGGTTCCACTCAGTGTGACCTGGCGCTTCGACCAACGGTTCACTGGCAGCGCCAGCTTCCCTTTCCGAACATTGTACATCCCAGAAAGCTGCACGCGCTCAGAACCGCCCACACTGCGAGGCTTACCTGGGAAGAGTGGGAAAGATCACCGATGATCAAGATGTTGTGATTATTACACACAGATTTTTCATTGTGGCTTTTTTGCACAACAGAGTTGTATTTTTAGCTCAGTGGGTTTTTTGTGAATCAGCTCTCTCACACCAGGTCTCTTTCAAAGCAACAAAGAGTCATATGGTTATGTAAGTGAATTGTAGCCAATAGCCCGAGGGCTGGCAGAGTGAGCGGTCACTCAGGCATGATCGCTACATTAACCCCTCGCTGGCAGAAAAAGCAACTACAATTCCATTTCAGACAGAGCAACGCAATCTCCTGCACTACTTTGTGTGTTTAAGACCCCAGCTACAAACTAACTGAGACTGTACAGCTGCTTTTAAAACGGTGTGTTCTGGGCTGCTCTGCTGACCACACATACCAGAGCACAAGAGAAAGGGAGACACATGTGGAGCCTGAGCCCCTGGGAGGTCTGAAATCAGATTAGTCTCTTATGTAATGTCTTACAATACCAGCACCTATCCTGACCTCCAGTGACTTAAACAAAACGTCACTTAGATTTCGCTGGGACTAAACAATTCCTGAACAGGCTGGGCATCAAATCCCAGTACTTTTCTACTAAAAGGTGTCTCAGCACTGAATGCTGGCATTGAATGCTTGGTCAGATTTTTTTGATCAGACTGTTCACAGTTTGCGCCACACGGAGTTGCAGCAAGTTACAGCAGCTGTGTCCTCGTTGTGTTCTTTTCCATGTTTTGTAAATGAAGCAGTGACCTTTGGATACTGCGCTCCAGGATGAAGAGGAGCTGATGCTGCGTCTGTCTCAGAGAGATCCCAAACACTGAGGAGGTGAAATCTGAATTCCACTAAGGTCACTTTTCTCTTACTGTCAGCACATGAATGAGTGTGTACAGTGAAGACAGAAGACCTTTTGCCAGAGGGATAATGCTGAGTCTGAGAATATTTGCCTGATGAATTAACTGATAGTTTTTCAGGTCTGTAAATCTCTTTTAACAACTTAAAAAGAGTTTTTAAGTTTGCTTTGTTTTTAAAGCGTGTGGATGACTTGTGGAAAACGCTAATGCCATGTGTAGCATCAGCATGTCTTTCTTGTTGCATAAAATGAAACTAACAAAGGGAAGGACATGCTCTTGAATGTTTTTGTAACAACTGAAATAAACTTGGATTATGATCATTTCAGTGAAAACCTAATTTCTTTTTCTTCCTCTGTCATTATATCCTGAGCTCCTGACTCTTTATACCCGCTGCCTTTGCTGCTAAGGGTGTAAAAACAAGGTCAAGAACAATATTCAGCTGTGCTAATCCCACAGGAGATCACGGCTGTTTTTCCATCCCCTTACTTTTCTTGTCAGCAAAACGGGATCATCAACTGAAGAAGATGAACAGAATCCATAATACCTCCAAATTTTCATCTCTGGTGTGTTGATTGAGTATACCCACCTGTTCCCTCCAGATGTGTCTCACACAGGACTAGGGGTGGGTTTACTTGCACGACACTGGACAGTTGAATACACTTATTTAACGGTATGACTGACCAACCACAATGACAGCACTCGCAGGATGAACAATGAGTGAGCAGAGACAGGACGGAACCCAGAGCTAAACTTCAGCTTATGTAAATTAAACCTGTGATCGGTCTTGACAAAATAATGTCCAGATTTTGATAATCACCAGGAGCCCTGTCTTTCTTACTAAATAAAAAATGTTATAAATTTTGATTACTCACCGAAGTAGAAGCGAATCAGGCAACCTATTTCCGGATTCATCCCCTCCTCCTGCACCCTGGAAGCATCCTCAAACCCCAGATTAACAAGGTATTTGTTCAGCATCTGCAGAGGCCTCTCGTCATCTCCTAGCCGCCGCACTGCTCCACCATGCAGCTGGACAAAGAGGGCCGGGATTGGACTAGTATTGATGGGCTCCAGCCATCCCCTGTTCCCCCCAGGGATCTCTAGGTCAGGCTGGGCAGATGCTTGACCGGGCAAGGGCAGAGCCTGAGAGCCGCTGGGGCATTTAGATGGATTTTTGTTTAATGTGAGGGGTTCTATGTTACTCCCAGCTCCAGCTTCAGTGTCATTAACTGCTCTCGTCACTTGGCTGGAGGCAGGGAAGTGGTCTGCAGTGGTGGTGGGCAAGTCTCCTTGCTGGTCTGCAGCCGAGCTGTCGGTTGAGTGTGTCGGAGAAGAGGTGAGATCTACTTCATCTGAGGAGCTCTCAAATGGGTCAGGTCCCTCTATGGCTCTGTTGCAGTCTGGGCTCAGCACCGAGGAGGTATCCATACCTAGCCCATCACTGAGTGAGTCCCTGTGCTCAGTGTTTCTGGGTTCACCTGGGCTGAAGTCCTCACAGATGCTGCTCTCCATATCTGAACCTGAGTAGACTCCATAACTCAAATCCACCCCAATGTCATTCAGACAGACCTCAGATGAAGAGTTACTTGTGTTTTTATCGTCCAAGAAGTCAGAAGACAGTTTAGTCTCAGGATAAAACTGCTTTGTGTGTTCATTCTCCTCAGTGGGGTTTTTCACCTCCATGCTGCCACTCAGACTTTTCATATCATCAGTCTTTCCATTATTATCATTACAATTATCGTTTAAGCCAACAGAAGCAGTATTTTTGCAGTTAATTCTCAACACAGCCCCAGCTTTGCTCCCTTCCAGCTTCCTGACTACCTCTTCAGCAGTGGTGTCCACTGTGCACAGCACTGGCCGCGGGTAGGAGGGCGTGAGCCAGTCATGGACGTGGATACAGCCCCGCCGGAGGTCCGATCTCACCCACGCTTTATCAGAGGCCTGAAGTTGTTTTGACTGTTTCTGCCGGAGAAAAGTCTTCCTGTCCAAGCTGAGGGTGCTCAGCGGGGAGGCGGAGGGAGCGGGGCTGGTGGCCTCCGCAGATAACACCCCGGGCGAGAAGCTGGTCGGCGCAGCCCCCAGCGACAGATTCCTCTTGTGCCTCTGCCGCCTCTTGCTCAGCAAAGAGTTGACCGAAGTGCTGCTGCTGGCTGATGTCAGACAGTACATGTTGGCTGGTTTCACGACAGGCATGTTTTTGCCTGCACCGCCCATAGCGTTGGCAACTTGGTTTTGATAGATGCCGTTCCTTATTGCAATCTGGAGAAGGGAGGTGGCTGCAAGTCCCTTCCCAAAGAGTTTCGCCTCTGCGCCCCCAGCGCCATCCTCCCCGATGGAGGGTCTCTTTCCAGCGGACAGCGGTGTTAACCCACTTGGCTTCACGGAGTTGTCACCGCTAGAATCAAGTGTCCCCTGTAATGCTGACGAAGTTAAAAGCACCCCAGACTCGTTATCCTTCAGGTCCTCCATCCTGTCAGCTAGCGGCGGCTGCGTCGGCTGGTTAGCAAAAGTCGCCTGCAGGCGAACCGCTAGTACTAGCCTGCGTTAGCTCTGAGCCGTTAGCTCGGTGCACTTAGTTAACTGGCTAGTTTCTCCTGGCAAATGTGCTCGGTTTTACGTTAGCTTAGCATGCTAAGATACTGCGCAGTTCATCCAAAGAGTTACTCCTCTACATCATCCCATTGCACAATATGCCCGTTAGCTCTCTATCTGGAGCTAGCCGGCTGACCGACCTGAGAAAAGACGTTTCTAGTTGGTCGCCATGGAAGCTAACCACGCGAAAAGGCGCGACTGCTACTGTACGGGCGGATGAGAGTGACGGCCAGGACACGGTGGACAGGGCGGGGTCTCATTGGATATGTATTATGACACAGGCATGTGCTACCACCAAGCTCGGACTTATAAAAAATTCTGTACTCGACTGCGACACAGGCTCAAATATCCCCAATGTTTGCTATCTACTGTTACTGTTCTACAATTTTAACATTTATGTCTTTATACAGTATCTTTTGGTGTTTTCTGATTTGGAGGACAGCGCCGGTATATTTATTATCCAAGTAGATACAAGAAAGAGAACTCGGTTTATCATAAATATCGAATTGGTGGATTATTTCCAAGCAAAGCACATGACCACACAGAAAATGACCTCTTGCATAAAATTGCGTAAATCAAAGAAAAAAAATAGCTAAAATCAAGAAAAATAAACAACATAAATAAAATAGCCTTAATATTATAAGGGGCTTCAGAACTTTGGAAGCTAGGTAACACCTACACCATAGGATATAATTATGCAGCGTTTTTCCATTTTGGCTTTACTAGCTATTTAAAGTCTCAAATAATTTTCAAAAGTTATACAACCTCTAAATAACAACATTAATTCATATAGAATTTAATTATTATCACAACGTTCTTTCATAGGCTGGGCAAGTATGCCAGTTCTTGGAATATGCCAGAAGTATGGTTCACAACTTTAGAAAGTATGAAAATACTTTGATGAAATGAGGCATTGAAGGCAACATGAACTGCAGTTACTTTACCTGGATATTTTGTTCTGTCCCATTCTAAGAAACTGATTTTCAATAAAAATGTGTTTGTCCTCAGATTGATGACCCCATACATTCTCCATACGATTATGCAATCTAACTGACTTGACATTTTACTGTGTAGTTTAGCATTTGTTGTTAATCAGTGAGCAGAGAAGCAGAGAAGAACTTGTTCTTTGACGACATCTAGTGGGGTAAAAACCTGAGGTGAGGTGTAGGAACTACTTATTGTTTTACTGTCCACAATTAGGTAAAAGTAACATTACAGCAATATAAAATACTATATTACATGTAGAATAAAAGTCCTGCTTTGAAAAAGCTTAGCAAAAGTAAAAGTACTCATTATTGCAGCAGAATGACCAGTCAGTGTTACACACCATGTTAATTATGGATCATTGCTGATGCTTTATTATGTACACCACCCTTTAAAGGTTTAGTGGGTCACAGTGAAGCTAAGTTAAACTACTTTATTTCGTAGCTTAAACTATAACAAAGATTTACATTTTATAAACCTTTGTGCATAAAATTTTAATCCACATAAAAAGTAAAAAATTGCAACATTTCCCATGCAGTAAGGCAGAAGTACCAAGTAGCAGAAAACGGAAATACTCAAATATTTACTTCATATTTGACAAGCAAATTTGCTTAGTTACATTGCACCTCTGCAACAAGTTACCACAATAATGTAATAAACCATTAATGTGATGCAGTGTATTTAATGCCATTTGACTGTCTGTAATATTAAAGTCCCATGGCGATGATTATACCTCTTTTTTGAGTTTTTGGTCATGTCTAAGATGACAATTCACTGTTGTAACATTGTAGATAAGTCAGAAAAAAAGGAAAAGCGCCATGGGCTCTTTAAACATAAATTTGTGGGTATTTAACATCGAAAGGTTTGGTAAAATCTGCAACAGACTCTGTTCATGCTGCCACAGTTTAAAGAAGATAATGTATCAAAATGTTTAATCAGCTACTTTATGTGCTAACAAGTGTTTCTGAGACAGAGGTATCTGTGTGTTGTAGCTGTCTCAGTACATTTGACATACAAATAACAGGGGTGGACTGCTGTCACACTGCAGTCCAACAGAGGGCAAAGTGCAGGCTGTAACAGTTTACTTTATCATTCTCTCTCCCTGTCTCTCTTTCCCCCCTCCCTCTGTCAAGTCTCCACCTCATTTTCTATACCAGTCACACACAGACTTTCGCCCATCAGGCTTCACAGTGCTGTCATTTGACTTTAACAACAGCCAAGGTAAGAACTTTTCATCTTAAGATATGTAAGTTAGTTTGATAAAATTATGACCTGCTCCCAATGGAGCTTCCTTGTTTTTTAAAGCTGCACTAACTGGAAATTAAGTTTCTTCTTCCTTGGACTTTATGGGCCACTGGTTCACCTTTTAGTATAAACCATCACTTTCTGTAAACAAAGGAACATGTGATGGATGGTAAATCTCGGGGGGATTAACAGTGAAAAACATCTCCCTGCAGATGTGCTGAGAGGAGGGAGATTAGCCTACTGACATAATAAGACACTGAACCCCAGGAGACATGTTTCCACTAGGATTCAATCTATCTTAATCCTGCATTAAGTCTTAAAACCCTGTTTTTGTCAGAACAAGTTAAAAAAAAACTGCCAGTGGGAGTGTGATAATTACAATTATTTCCAATCCACTTCCTGTAAAGCCTTCCTTGAGTAAAGTGATGTGATTTGGATATTAATTAGATAGAGGACTAACTGATTGAGAGAGCCTTGAAACAATAATGAAATTACCTCACCCTGCTGGAAGATTTATTTTAATGTATTCATTTAAAAAACAAGATTGTGTAACTCAATAAGAAGTCTCTGTGGGGCTCAGATAGATAGGGAGGTTAGTCTGCTGCTCTAATAAAGAGCACTCAGGGAAAGAAAAAACAGGGAAGGGGAGGATCTGAATGGAGACCGGACACTGAGGGATGACAAGCAAAGCAATGGCTGGTCACAGTGGGGTGTTGCTGTCAGTTTTACTGCTGGCATGTTGCACAAACATTTTCACTGTCAAACCGACAAACGATGGCTGTATTCCTGTTTCACTGAAGATGCCAGAGGGTGTTTTTCACTGCCAGCATGTTCCTAACTGAAGGAGAGAAAAGAGAGATGGCTAATCCATTTTACAATGCCTGCCTTTAAAATGGAAAAAACAAACTATAATTAAATGTGGCCTGTTTAAGCTCAATGACTTTCCTAAGCAGCTCTCCCTATAGCAACACGCAAATGTGTGTGTGGTTAAGTTGCTCACTGCCGTTTGTTTTGGTTCCTCAGGCACAGCACTGACAAATTTAGATTACAGCAGTCAAAAAATTGTTGGAAAAAAGAGCAGAAATACAGAACTGGAGAGTAGTTAGTCATTAAGCTTGCCCAACCCTGTCAACTGTTTCAGCAGGGACACATCACACACCCTCAAAAACACAAGTATAGAAGGAATACACGTTTGTATAAAAAAAGTAAATTTTTAGACATGTAACAAAACAAGTATGAGCCCCTGACCACGCCAACAACCGTAGAGGTAGCGGTTACAGCTCAAGAAACACAGATTTGCACCAGTTCAGCCTCAGCTAAACAGTTTTTGTGTTGACTGCAGTGCCTGGGTGGTAGATTCCCATTAGCTGTGGCAGAAGCTTGTGTTTTGTCTGTACACACATCTATTGCATGTCTGTCTGTCCTGGAAGAAGGTTCAGTCTTCAGCTGCAATGTCTGAGGTTTCTTCCATCTTTTTTCTGTTAAAGGTCTGTGTATGTGTTTTTGGGCGGTGGTGGTGAGGGATTCCTTATCCAGTTTGAGGGTCTAAGGACAGAGGGTGTCATAATCTGTATAGACCGTAAAGCCTCGTTAGGCAAATTTTTGACACTGAGGTATAGATGGGTGACAAATTTAAGATAAAACCTGAGCTGGTCTGGTGACTCTGTTCTGCTGTGTGTGTGTGTGTGTGTGTGTGTGTTGGGGGGCATTTCTATCCTGATGGGAGCAGCCCTCCATCCACAGGGCACCAGGGGTCACTGACTGGCTTGATGAGGATGATGGTCATGATGTGAATCAGACACTGTGACCTTCCCAATCACCAGGTCTCAGCCCATTTGAACAGCTAATTGTCCAAGGATCTGATCCCGCTGACTCTGAACTTATGGATGTTTGAATGAAACATAAATCCCTCTCCAACAAAGTTCTCATTTCCGCTGCAGTGGTTCCCAGTAGGTTATTCCTGTATGTTGCCGTGGTTGTGTCAGTGTTTACTCTGCTGTGGTCACATGGTCAGGGTGAAGGTGAGGTTAACCGCTACGTTTTCTACACACTCTCAGCTCCACTGTCTGTTGACCTCACTCTCATAGATGCCGTACCAAGGGACCAGATGTCAGAGCATTTTCCACTCTGTGGTTTTCAGAAGAATGTGGGAGGCAATCACATTCTTCAGGATCTCTGATTAGATTTGGTGGAAAAGTCAGTGGTGGGGGTATAATATACTTGGGACAGACAGATGCATGTTCTTATCTAAACACTAAAACACTTGGTCATTCACATCTAGCATTTACACAGACACACTGGCATTACAGTTCTTATAGTTATACATAAAGGTTTTGCGGGCACAGGTGTTTCTTCATGGAGTGCTGCAAAATGAGCTAAAACTCCAGTCACTTGTGCCCCTGGGCAGATCAAAATCTGCTGCTCTGCTCATTATCATTTATCTGTAATTGTTAGGAATTTTGTTGTTAATTTAGTTTTGATGTATTTTCTGATTATATTTTGTGTTATTATCTTATCAATTATTGTATCTTGTATAAGAATCACTGTTTTAAATCTATGCTCTTATTTGTTTTTGTTTGCTCATCCATATGGTAAATATGAACTTACAGCTACAGTAGCTATCAGCTGGTTAACTTAGCTTAGCATAAAGACTGAATACGGGGAATACAGCACAAGCTCAGATAAATGGCCTGCACACATCTGCTGACCCTGGGTGAAAAATCCCACTTCCCTAAATTTTCCCTGACTGTCACTATCACACCCTACATTTCACTTCCTGTGTCTTTACAGGCGCCCATGAGATTGAAGTGAGTCATGGAGGAACCACGGCGCCTCGACCTGACCTACATCACTGAACGCATCATCACCACATACTGCCCTCCTGAGTGTACAGAGGAGACCTACATGCAGAACCTGCACCAGATTCTTCTCATGCTGCAGTCAAAGCATGGACACAACTACATGGTGAGATGGAAGTACTCACATTGACAGTACCATAGTGCAAAAATGCTCTGTTACAAGTACTGCATTTAAAATTGTACTTAGCATCAAAATCAACTGCTGTCCTGTATTTGCACAGTTCGTATAATGTGCAACTATAAGAGAGCAATATACAGTGTAAATGAATGAAGCCTGATTTGAGTTCCTGAAACCATCATTTCAAACAAACCTTCCATTTCAGCACACATTTTCATTACTTATTTTTGTAAAGTAGTTAATTGAAAACCAAAAATATCAAGTTTAATTTTATTTTACAACCTCTTCTCCACCATGGCACCTCATACATACCTGCCACTTACATTTAGACATGTAGTAGCCCTGTCTTTTTGTCTTCTCATACTAACAATTGTTCCTCTTTGCTTCAGCTCATCAACCTCTCACAGAACAATGACGCTCTCACACACATGAACCACAAGGTAATGATAACACTTCACATGGCTTATTTCCAAGATTAAATGTCACAGAGTACTAGTAATAAATGGTCTGGTGTATGTGTGATTTGTCTCACAGGTTCTGGACACAGGTTGGGTGGATTTCTTAGCCCCTAACCTGGATCAGATGTTCAGCGTGTGCACGATGATGGAAAACTGGCTGCAAACAAACCTGAAGCACATCCTGGTGTTACACAGCCGGGTAAACTCCTCTGATTCCTCTGCACACACTGACACTGACATGTTCTTGAAGTTTATTTCTCTTCACTCTGCAACTGATCTCCACAGGGGGGTAAAGGCCTGCTTGGAGTTCTGGTGGCGTCCTACATCCACTTCACCAACATGTCAGCCAGGTAACACCGAAGGTGAATTTGTTCAAATGGTAGAGGCGACCCGGTCCCGGATAAGCGGAAGAAAATGGATGGATGGATGGTAGAGGGGCAAAAGCACATGTAGAAGCCAGCTTTATCTTTAGTATCATTTACAAACCAACAAAAATTTTGTGAAAGTAAGAGTCTATACTTCACATACTCAATAGGCAGAGTCTGGTTCAAATATGGACACGAATATATTTTTGTCTCGACCCCAAACAAAATTTCAAAGCAACCTGACTCAAATTGCTTCTGCAACCACATTTAGCAAGTGGGAGGATGAAAGATATGAAAAAGAGCAAACAAGAACAAGTCATACAAAGGCAATATTTATTCATGTGTTCTCTCCATCTGAGAGAAGTCCAACACCAGTGTGTGTAATGTGCAGAGAAGTAAACAGCCACAACATCAAACAGGATACAAACCATCTACAGTGAACGAGGGGACAAACCACAAAATGGCTCAAATCATCACATCAGCAGAAACTGCACATTTACACAAAATTAGAATTTCACAAAAGCAACATTTTAATCCATGAAGCTAGTGAAAACATTGATATCAGTATGTCCTTCTAGCTATCACAGTTTTACAAGGATGTGGTTACTAATGCTATTTTTTGTATACACAGTTTTATTGTGTCAAAAATGTCTAATCCAAATTTCTTGGACCAGTGACACTGCAGACATTTTGCAATCTGACCTGTGTGACTTGCCATTAGCAGCTCTGCGAGGCTGTACTTAACCCTTGTGTTCTGTTAAGGATCTTAAAGCAGAGCAGCGCTAAATGCTAAATGTCATAGTTGCAATGCTAACTGTTGAGGCAGGCAGAATGTTTAATCGTTATTAAGTTCATCATATTAGTTTAGCATGTTAACATTTATCTAATTAGCACAAAGTAGTTTCTGCCGGGGCTCATGGTGTCATTAGCTTTGAGGGTATTGGACAAAAACTTTTGATTTGATAATGGTGTTAGATGCAAAGTCAGGAGATCAAAGTCCTTCACTGAAGTAAGTGATGGGGACTAGTCTCACCCTTTGGTCAATACATATCATCAGCTTCTGGCCACACTGTCATAAAATCCATACTCATGATCCCCAGAAGCTGAAATCTGTACTGATTTTGCAGACTTCTCTGACCTTCCCTCTTGTTCCACCAGCAAGCCAAAATATCCAGTTGTGCACAAATAATATCACAACTTAGTGGCCATGAAATCTGCACATAAAGACAACTGTGGTGTTAAACGTTTGATCGGGTTAGATTAAGTTCATTAATTGATAACTCTTATTGAAGAGTATTTCTTTAAATACACATCACCTAATCACTGGTATTCCATGAAAGTTAACCTGTAACTGTAGAGTAATAACACAGTATTGACATGTACTGCTGGAGGCATTTACAGATCACATAGCAGTGCCAGACAATAGTGAGTGAGCAGGGGCTGATCTACAGTAGAGAACGTCTCAACCATGATTGAAGAGACTTTGAACTACACTGGTATTTGATTTTTGGGCTGGGTTCCTGTTGCTGTTGGACACCGCTGAATTTATTTCCTCTTAAATTACCTGCATGCTAGGAGACACAAAACAGAGATGGCCTCAGCCAGAGGCATTTTTAAACCTAACGTTACAGTCCGGTGTGTGTGGTGAAACAGCTTTTGTTTTATGACCTTTCTTCTGGTTTTATGAGCTATTAAAACCATCAATGGCCCATCCTCATTTAGCCACTTCTAATAATGGGGTGAGGTGAAAGGTCAGTTACAGGCAAATCAGTGTCCAGAAAAGTGCAGAAAAGGGCAGTTTGATTTCCACACTGAGTACGTGCAGGTCACGACTGAACAGCTGACTCACTGTTGAGAAATAGCTGATTTGATCACTGTCCCGCTGACAGTGATTTATGAGTGCGAGCATGCACAGAAAGGTTTGTGAAGGAGTGTAAATACAATCTAACTGTTAAAAAAGAAAGTAGTGGTATTCAGTCAAGCTGATACTATAGTTCAGACTTTTTGTTATGAGATTTCTTAAATACAGTGGAGGTTAATGGAAGTTTGTTCATGGTGCATTGAAAGGTGACACATAAAATGTCTTGTTTTTCAGGAAACAGCGTACCTATTTCTTTGGATAATCAACAGTACACGCTGCCAACAGTTCTCATTGGGACTAATACACATTGCTGATGAATGTTTTTTATCATAGATCCAGTAGTTCAACTGAACATACTCTCTCTCAGTGCAGACCTTTCTCTTGACCACTTTGCCATGAGGAGGTTTTACAACGACAAACTGTCTGCTCTGATGACCCCCTCGCAGAAACGGTAAGAACAGGGCTCACTGAGCAGGATCACTCAAGGTCAAAGGCCAACTCCAGTTCTATAATGTAGAGCGAGGAATCTGCTGTGACAGTTGAATTATGCTCTTGTGAAATCGTTACTATAATAAGCTGCTGTACGCTTGCAAAACAGGGACAGTGACTCAGAAAACTGCACTCTCACCCAGTTATAATTAACAGCTTTCTGTTCTGCAGGTATGTATGGATGATGGGAAGCATATTAAAAGGAGGACTGAGGCTGTGTCCCTCCCCGTCTTTTCTCCTCTGTGTTGCTCTTCATGGTATCCCCAAAATAAACCCAGATGGAGGTAAGCAGCAGATGTCTGATCTGAATTAGAGGGAACTAAGGACATAAGTAACAGTAGCTGGAGCCCTCTGCTTTGCATATGTCCGTCCTTTCTAATAAAGTAGTTATACAGCAGCAATGCAGTGAACACAGGACACTACAATGGTCAGATTCACTGTCTGTATTTTACTGACTAGACCTATTTAGCAAACTTTATTCGGAATTTTTTAATATTCACAGGAAACAAACTATCGAACACAATCAAGTTTTTTTGGGAACAAGAGCTCAGATCAAGAAAAAAATCAGCCCTCCTTAGCATCAGACACAAGTGTCATGGAGTTAAATGCCCCCTGACTATAGGAAAGGTGTTGCTTTTCTAGTTTAACACAGTTCTCCACCTCCTTGATCTGACCTTCAAATTTCAAGGGTGAAACATGCCTCCATTTTATAATTTTATGGTGGCTAGGCAGCAAGGTAGTGAACGCATGAAAGATTATTATCATAGGAAATTGCAAAAATTGTTGTAAATGGATTGGGAGTAGTTGTTACATCACACACATTTTACAGTGTTTCAGATAGTTTAGTCTATAGAGAGAAAAGTCTCAAGTCCTCAGCAGTGCAGTATCAGCAAAACTACAGGTATATTACAGACCCACTGTACAACATGGCTCTAGTAAAAACAATTACAAAAGCTTGGTCTCAATCTGTACATTCTCACTATAGTGCTGTGATTCTCAGTGAGGGCAGCACTGCCACCAAGTGGACATTCATACAATGTCTGGGAAGTCTGGCAGCAGTCAGCAGATGCCCTTAGGATGCTAAGGGTGGGTGCTGTTGTTAAGCCATTTCCATCCATTTTCTGAACCACATAGTCCCAAACAGGGTCCCAGCCAGCTGCAGGCAAGGGTACACCCAGGATAGGTCGCCAGTCCATTGCAGGGCTAACGCACAGACAAACAAACACTCACAGTCAACCTATGCGGCATGTCTTTGGACAGTGGGAGGAAGCCGGAGTACCTGGGGAGAACATACAAACTCCACACAGAAAGGCCCTGGGTTGGCCAAGGCTCGAACCTGAAACCTTCTCACTTTTAGCCAACAGCGCTAACCACCATTCCACCGTGCTGCCTGTTAAGCCATTTCATGCATGTAAATAAGTATTAAATGTAAATAATTCATGCAGATAGTTTTCTTTGTGAGTTAATTATGTGTCAGACAGGCAGTCACACCTAATGGCTCACGCTACTTTCCCACACTCAATATGACAGTGACGACAAGAGCAGTGCGCTGGTGTCTTCATTCTTCTTTCCTCATTTATCAGTGGGCAAGAGGTTTGACTTAAGGGGATAGTCACAGAAAACAGACAGAGAACCACTGGTTTAGAGGCATATCAATGTTTGGTGATTCACAGTGCTACAGTGTATTGTAAATAGAAAACAACACAAGCTGAGAAACCTTCTCAATTCGCATCATCTATTTGCACTCTCATGATTTCAAAGTGCAACAAAAAAACAACTTTTGACCATAGTCCTGGTACTACTTTTTGTAAGAATTTCTGCCAGCATTTTAAAACAGCCTAAAGCATTAAACTGGCTCACGGTGGATGTTGCTCACAGTGTCAAAGTTTTCACCTCTTCACACACAAGTCACACAGTTTTTGGCTCAAACCCTAACACAGCAGCTCTGCTACACTGACCTGCTTACTGAACAATCTGAAACATTTCTTTTTCAAATGAACACTCTCTTCCTAGGATGTTGTCTTTTCCTGAGAGTCTACCAGAGTCTACAAGCTGTTTGCACATCAGCAATCTAGTAAGAAACACAATACACTCTGAAAACAGTGAGATAGAATACTACAAGATCATGTACAGCAGGTAATGTGTTTGTCTCCATCTCAGCCATGTTGCTGCAGCACAGACAGACCGACTCTACTTTGTGCTCCAGCCAGCTCAGCTGCTCAAGGGGGACATCATGGTAAGTGGGACTGTGTCTTTATATTATAAAGGCCAATGCTTTAACAGATTTTTAACAACACAGGTTAATAAATAGCAACAAGGATTATACTATATGGCTAAAAATGCAAAATGTTTACTACTGGGATGCAGAAGGGGAGGTTGAATCCTATATACACCAACTTACTAATTAAGGAACCAATTTTTTTGCTTTTTATTACGTTTAACTTTCCTCCCCTTGCTCATTTTGTTTTCTCTGCATTTATTAAATGTTTTGGGTAACATTTTATTTTATTTGATAGTAATTTCCACTGAGTTTACAAAGCTTATTTAGGTTCTTATTCTATTCTTATAGAATATTCTTGAAAGACAAGCTCTAGTTCAACCCACATAGATCTTTATTTATTTTTTATTTTTTACTGGAAACTTTATTCATCACATATATGAAACTACAAGTTCGCCCATGGACAGATTTCACACTTCTGCGTGTTCAGCTATACTGATGTGTTTCAACTAAATGTCTTAATTTATCATAAGTGTATCAGTTGAAAACTGTTTTCTCCATTGCAGAAGTTTTTTGTAGGAAAATGTTTGGAAATTAATAGAAAAGATTATTCAGGATCAAAAATGACAAAGTCACAGCATAACATTTTAGTTAGTTGTATTGTAATGTCTGATATGTTGGAAAGTAATATCAATAAAATATATGTAAAGTCATTTTCTAGTATTTAATGTAAAACCATATATAATCTGCTGTAAATCACAAAAAAAGGACTTCAGACTTTTCATCCGTAAACCAAACTGACTGACTGATATTTTGCTTTATCACACAAAAAAGGCATCGATGTAGAGCGTTCTGTCTGAGTGTGTGACTGTACATGTGTCATTACTTTCTGATTTTAGATGGTTTGTTATGATAAAAACAGCCGGTCAGCCAGCCGTCAGGCCGTCTTCCGTCTCCAGTTTCATACAGGCCTTGTACAGGGACGCACCCTCACTTTTTCGAAGGCAGACCTTGACAGTGCCAGTGAAGGTAGGATTTACAACCTGCTGCTACTACTGCTGTTTCAACTACTATCAGTCTTTATCTGGGCCTGATAAATCCTTCAGCCTCTCTGCGCTCTCCCCTCCTCTCCTGTAAATACCTGAACTAACCTTGGACTTTGTATCAGCTGCAGGTGTGAAGCGCACATGGAAAGATAACTGTCCAGCTGTTTGATCTTTTTCCGATTTAATATTCCAGATCCTCGGTTCCCAGAAGATGGAAAGGTGGAGCTGTTTTTTTCTGAAAGTCCTGAAAACATAACAGGTAGATTTACACTCACAAAACAAGATTTTTATTTTTCTGAAATGAATGATTTAAAATTAATATTGGACACAATCCAACAAATTTACCACAGTGAACTGGAGAATAAACATGCAGGTGAAAATATGCTTTTCAGAGGCTTTAATCCACAGCATAGTGGTACACGTTTTTATACTTGCACTCAAAGGCAAGAATGTGAACCTCTTGTTGCCACCAGATGAAACGACAGGATCACTAGTCATTAGGGTTCATCCTCTGGGGAAACAGGACATGATGGGAGGGACAAAGAGAAGTTATGTTTTGAGTTTCACTACACCCTCTAGGCTGAAAAAAAATTTGATTGGCTTTGAAGAAGTGAAATTGTTTACAAGAAAAAAGTCAAGTCAAGAGTCAAGTAAAAAAAAGCACAGATTAGAGGAAGTGGGAGTTAAAATAAGAAAACTTCATGGTGCATAAATATGTTTTTCTTTATTCCTCTTCTGTCAGTCATGTCACGACATCTCAAATGTATCTTGGTGACCCTTTTTGGTGGTCCTGACCCCAAGGTTGGGCAACAGAGAACCAAGTGAAGCATATAAACAACTGGACTCTCACACTCACACAGACAGTATTCGGGCTACAAGTGCTGCTGATGAACAAAAGCTGCACCGAGCTTCATTGTGTCTCTCAGCTCAAGCAGCTGAGACAGAAGTGACTCAGTTTGAAGCATGACATCTACACATACACACAATAGTCATCAATGAAAAAGTTCACCGTTGAGTTCAACAAACAGTCACCCAGGTGGGGGCAGTGTTGGACACCTGAGGGGACTGCTCCAGCCTAACTGACCCTCAGCACGTACAGTCACACTCCTCGCCTCTTAACAGGAAGCAATATGAGGGTTATCACACGGACACATCTAACTGGAATTCAGATTAGAGATACTCTGCAGGGCACACACACATCCAGACACACACAGTAGAAACTGAAGCTCAACCAGAATTAATGCATGGACACATTATTATTTAAATCAGATTTGGCACTGGTTTGTGTGCTTTGTGTGTCTGCCTTGTTGTTGTTTAACTACCAGCACTGCCTTTGGATATATTAGTCATTTCCCTGTGCAGGCAGGGAGCTGTGGCACAACGGGCACTCTGTGACCGTGGACTATGACACCTTGGACCCTTTAGTCAGACGAGACTCCTATCAAGAGACGTGCTCTCTTCAGACAGGTAAAGTGCATTTTAGTGTTTTTAATCAGGAATTTCCCCTTTGAAATATGTTCCCCCCCATCTTTCACTTTCTTTTCTGTCCTTTTGAATTCCTGTGGTGTCCCCGACATAACTTCTAGACAGGATTTGACAGCAAAACAATGCATTTGAAGACACAGCACATAATGGGAGATAAATAAACTTCTCTGCTCTAACATAATGGTGACCTTTAGTTGTCCATGGCGTTCTCAGGAAAACTGAAATACCGGTTCAGCCCTGTTTAGCTCAGACTTTTAAAGGGTCATATGCTGTAAGTGTTTTTTCTACGTTTTATCTCCTTTCTGTTTCATGTTTATTTTACTGAATAGCTTCAAATATTTTTAGGTTTGCATGACAACCAGTTAGCAGGCTCATAAAACGTGCTGCACATGTGTAATTTATGTGAACATCAAGCAGAGTTTGGATTTTATGTGAGATTGCAATGATAGTTCTGTTTTCTATTTGTGTGATTGGTTTGTTTTGATAGTTAGATATTTATAAACACTATTTTAAAGATGTAGCTGAATTTGTTTTGTGGACAACCCACCTGCTGCTGACACCCATGAGATGTGGCTGAAAGCTCTGGAAAAGTTTCAGTGAGCACCAGCTCTGTGGCACTACAAGGATTTTTAACCTCTTTAAGGCTTATAGGTTTGTTTTTGCCAGATAAATGACTCAGTATTTCTAAGCAGCTGTTAGCAGACAAGCACTGACAAACCCACTGTACACTAAACTCTCATCACCCAACAGCAGACAGACACAGTTAGCTGGTCTAGCTGTGAAGTAGAAGCAGAGCATCCAGCAGCTAAAAAACAGAACTGTTGTAAGCTGGCACACTGAGAGGTATTTATCTCAGGAGTTGGTGGGGCCCAAACCAGAGCAAAAAAGAGAATGAATATTTGATTATGAAACTCCAAGTCCAACTATGTTGCCCCAAAGTTTCAGAGTGACCATAATTTCTGAAGTTAGCACGAGTCAGCGTCAGCTGTGCATGTGCACCGTTTTGTGCAAGCTCTCTGCTTTGTTTACCTTTTGCTAGCTCCTCATGCTCAGGTTTGGGGTTTGCTAATGAAGAAACATGTCACCCTGTGCAGTGGTGCGTTTCACTGATGTGTTTTAATCATTTTTGAACAACAACAGAGGTGCGTAGAACAGATGAACAAGCTAATCCAGGGGTGACACTCTGATGGACATTAACCGTGAGTAGAGGCAACTACAGTGAGGAACAGAAGTATTTGAACACCCTGCGATTTTGCAAGTTCTCCCACTTAGAAATCATGGAGGGGTCTGAAATTTACATTGTAGGTGCATTCCCACTCTGAGAGACAGAATTAAAAAAACAATTTCAGGAAATCACATTGTATGATTTTTAAAGAATTTGTTTGTCTTGCACTGCTGAACATAAGTATTTGAACACCCTGCGATTTTGCAAGTTCTCCCACTTAGAAATCATGGAGGGGTCTGAAATTTACATTGTAGGTGCATTCCCACTCTGAGAGACAGAATTAAAAAAACAATTTCAGGAAATCACATTGTATGATTTTTAAAGAATTTGTTTGTCTTGCACTGCTGAACATAAGTATTTGAACACCCTGCGATTTTGCAAGTTCTCCCACTTAGAAATCATGGAGGGGTCTGAAATTTACATTGTAGGTGCATTCCCACTCTGAGAGACAGAATTAAAAAAACAATTTCAGGAAATCACATTGTATGATTTTTAAAGAATTTGTTTGTCTTGCACTGCTGAACATAAGTATTTGAACACCTGAGAAACAGCAAGAATTCTGGCTCTCAAAGACCTGTTACTGTGCCTTGAAAAAGTCCACCTCTACTCCACTCATTAATCTACATTAGTAGCACCTGTCTGAGCTCTTTAAAGACACCTGTCCACCCCACAGTCAGTCAGACGCCAACTACTACCATGGGCAAGACCAAGGAGCTGTCAAAAGACACCAGAGACAAAATTCTGGACCTCCACAAGGCTGGAAAGGGCTACGGGGCAATTGCCCAGCAGCTTGGTGAAAATAGATCAACTGTTGGAGCAATTGTTAGAAAATGGAAGAGGCTAAAGACGACTGGGATGCAGAAGGGACGAAAAAGAAGGATGAGTTGCATCCCAAGAACACTGTCCCTACTGTGAAGCATGGGGATGGTAACGTCATGCTTTGGGGATGCAACTCATCCTTCTTTTTCGTCCCTTCTGCATCCCAGTCGTCTTTAGCCTCTTCCATTTTCTAACAATTGCTCCAACAGTTGATCTATTTTCACCAAGCTGCTGGGCAATTGCCCCGTAGCCCTTTCCAGCCTTGTGGAGGTCCAGAATTTTGTCTCTGGTGTCTTTTGACAGCTCCTTGGTCTTGCCCATGGTAGTAGTTGGCGTCTGACTGACTGTGGGGTGGACAGGTGTCTTTAAAGAGCTCAGACAGGTGCTACTAATGTAGATTAATGAGTGGAGTAGAGGTGGACTTTTTCAAGGCACAGTAACAGGTCTTTGAGAGCCAGAATTCTTGCTGTTTCTCAGGTGTTCAAATACTTCTGTTCCTCACTGTATTTGTTTGTTTTATTCCCTGTATGTGGAGTGTTGAAAATACTGTTAATACAGAAAATGACTGGCCTTATTCTTTAATGTACAAGCCCAAAGCAAAAAAAGTCGGGACAGTATGTAAAATCAAAATTAAATCTGAAAATAGTGATTTGTAAATCCTCTGTGTCTTGTATTACATTGAAAACAATACAGCAGTACATTATTTGATGTGACACCTCATCAAATTTAGTCTTTGTTCAAAATAAACACACTTCTATTCTGATGCCTGCAACACATTTCAGAAAAAGTTGGGCCGGTGGGTGCTGATCCAGCCTCTGATATTGTCTGTTTTGACTTCCATGTGGTTATTCTTGTGGGGTGATTGTCTGGTTATCAGTGTTACAGCTTACAGCAGTTGTGGTTGCAAAGGGCTCTTGGATGTTTCTGGGAATGCATGTAACACTGATCTTCTAGACAGCAGCCAGACCACACCTGTGGATTTGGAGGCGGCTGTTTTTCAAGGAGTCTCCATTTATTTAGAATACACACACACAGAGAGAAAAACACCAACACAAAAACACACATCCAGACAGCTGAAACAGTCACTTTCAAACGATGGTTGAGGATTCAGTTCCAGCTGTTTGATGTGTTGCTAAATCTGCTTCAGCCAGCTGTGTAATTTAGATGGACCGATCATTAGGGGGTGTAAACACACACATAAACAAACACTCACATGAACGCAAACACACATGGCCATTACGTTTAACCACCAGCACGCGCACATGAGCGTGATGAGGGTGCCAGCCAGTTAGCAACACAGCCAGTCTGAAGAATGTTGTTTTCAGTCACAGGTGATCTACTTTGCCCTCTCAGCCTGCTCTCACTCCTCCCTTGTTCCTATCACTCCATCTCCACATCTTCTTTTACTCCCTCCTTTTCTTTTCTTCATCTTTATCTTGTCCTCTGTCTGCCTCATTCTAGCTCTGAATGTTGCTTTCAGGTTCAAGTTGCAGGTTGCAATTTGTCTAGTGAGTCCCCATCCCCCCCTTTTACACACCAATCTCTCCAGAGCCCACCCCTGTGTTTACATTCCCCTCTCCATATTTGGACAGCTCAAGGTCCTTGTACTTTGTGTTTTTTATTTTCTTGAATGTGCATTATGTATTGCGCAAACCCTTCCACCTGTGTGTGCGTTGCAAGTCTAGTGAATGATCCACCCTTCAGTTTCCTGCTTCCTTCTTGACATAAAAATACACAAGCGCTCACTGACTCTGCAGCATTACCTACCTGTGTCAACTGGGACAGGATGCAGGGGGAAGGAGGGAAAAAGCAAAGGCTCATGTGGTGGTGGCGGTGAAGGCGGGGATTTTTAGTGCAGGGGCGGCGCAGTAGAGGAGTGACATGAGAGAGTAGGAGGTGGGGGGGGGTTTGCACCTTAACAGAAATAGTGTTCTTTACTTGTCTTTCCGTGGCAGCCTGACAGACGACAGCACGGGGAAAGAGCGCATCCAGCTATGCTGCTCCTTTTCATTCTGCCCTCGTCCTTGGCCCTCTTTCCTTTCTGCTTGTCATCAGTTTTTCTTTTCCTCTCTCTCTGATTGCAAAGTGAGGCTTTAGCAAGCATTTCCATCCTGTTTCTAGTCTGCAGAAGGAACAGTGAAAGTTGACTGCTGACTGCCAGTGAAGTAAGCTGCTTTCTGATGCTAGTTTTGCACAGTGGTGTGTGTCTTTTAATTGTTCTGATAGTGTTTTGAGAGTTATAGTTTGTGAATGTAGTACTCATCTGTGCATCTGTGCGTGAGACCTATTAGACCAGCGGTGAGGTTTTACAATGCATGTCTGGTATTTGAGTTTTATTGCTTCTCTGGAATTAAGAGGCTGTGCTCATATAATCCCTGGTATGCACTGTAGGCTTTGTCACAGTCGCTGCAGGAGGCAGTTTTATCTAAGCATAACAAGCTTTTTAGACATTAACTTGGATTTTTTAATTATTTTTTCTAATACATTTTTGTTATTTTCCAAACATCTAAAAACAAAAACACCAATGGAGATGTGTCAGTGTCAAACATATATGTGTATAACATAATATAATAAAAACAATTAATATAAAAAGCAACAGGGAAAAAATAATTTATACTGCAGCTAATAAATCACAAACACCATAACTCACATACCGCATAAAAGTATTTAGCATTTTCAACAAATTTCCACAGAAGTGTCCTGACCTGTCAAAATTTCCCAGATTTGTTTTGTGAATCATACATTAGCTGAACAGAAGGTGTCTGACCAGCTGCTCGTTCAACTCCTGTTTGGTTTTGCATACTTTAGGGATTATTTTCCTTTTTAAGTATTTTCTTGACTAATTGTTTGGTCTCCAAAATGTCTGAAAATAGTTTAAAAGAGCCAGTTGCAGTTTCCTGACGGTGATACTTTTGGTTGTCAAGTTGCGTGTTTTGTCCAAGACACAAATATTCAGTTCACTATAAATAACAATTGTGAAACCAAAACATAGGAATGTAAAACCAGTAATTACCAGGACAGTTAGATTAACTTTGTATTGATTAGTCAGTTTATTATGGTACAGCATCATAGTCTGTTTCCAATGTGCTGCAAGACTCTGAAATATGGTTTCATGCTGCTACAGTCAAAGTAGAACAAAACTGTGAACATATGTGTGTGTGTACGAACGAGAGAGAGAACGTGGCATCAGCTCTACCTGGCCTCAAGTACACGTGTATGAGAGACACCTCCTTTGCGTGACACACACATACACAAGCTCACGCATATGCATCCACAAGCCAACACAAAGGGGCTCTATGTTATCTACATAAAGTTTGTCTGGAGTGATGGCTGTGGTCCAGCAGCTGGTGTGTTTGTGTGAGTGTGTCATAATGAATCATATACAGTAGAGCTGCAGGTATGGGGTGCAGGTATGCAGGACCTGTTTAATACAAGGGTGCAGTTTTAACTTTTAGTTAAACTTTGATTTACTCAGTTGCCACAGAACAGATAAGAGAAGAGAGGAACTGGCAGAAATGTCCATGTCCTCCTTTACCTCACTTTAAGGCACCACGATTTGGGAATGTTTGCCCTGGGATTTGCCTCTCAGGCAACATACAGGCTGCCTGATGCTGTTTGAGAAAAGCTGTTTAATTTTTAATCAGATAAAACTTTGTCACAAATTTGTTACATTTTATAAAGCAAAGGATTAACTGCAACTGGTTAAAAGTTTTGGGGAAAATGGTTTAAGTTCCACTAAAACTAAACAAAAATACTATTGTTTTCTTGAGTGTTCATTGAACACATGTGGCCTTTGGATAATTAGTTGGACAAAACTTGCAATTTAAATATGTCATCAGTTTGTGATAAATATTTTTTCTTGTATTTTAGAGATTAATTAATTCATAATGAAATCATTCCCTTGTTGCAGCTTTAATTTATGGGTGATAATGTTTAATTACAGTATAATACTCTCCCAAAACAATTCTACAAATGAGTGTGAATAAAACACAGGGCAGCAGAGATCAGAGCTTACTTACTGAAATGTAAATACAACTTTATCTGTCACTAAATATGTTTGTTTTATTTATTTATTTGGTTGGAAAACTCCTGATTTCATCATGTCCCCTTCACATCTGCACCCATACTTAGACCTTTGCATCAACAGATGATTGATGCGCCTGTTTTCACTGCAGCAATTTTGTCTTCACAGCTCCACCTTGTGTCCTGAACCACGGGAATGGCAGTTTTTACACCAGTGTGAGGAAGAAGAGCAGTGAGGAAGCATCTTTATTCCCCCTGTCCACCTGCAGCCCCAGCTTCAGTGACCGAACTCTGTCTGCCAGCAGTGATTCAGGCCTGTCTGTTGCCTCACAGGGGCTGATCGGAGCCAGGCAGAGGAGAGGGGCTGCACAGGACACGTGTACCCAGCTGCTCTCTGCGGTGGATTTTGAGATTGCTCAGCCTCTTCTGCAGGTCATGACTGAGCTTGCTGCATGCAGTGGAGGGGATGGGGAAATAGCTGGAGATGAGTCTGGATTGGGACTAACTATAAACGGAGAGGCTTTGTCCAGTGAGAGGGAGACCGATATATTGGATGATGAAGATGAAGTAGATGAGGTTGCTGCTCTGACTTTAGACATGCCAAGCTCAGGCTCCCTCTCCTCAGAGAATCTGCTCCAAACTCAGAGGGCAGATCAGACTGAGCAATCCACACACTCCTGGCTACAGCAGCAGCAGCAGATGGTGGATGCCCTCACTGATAACTACAACAAAGTGGATGCAGAGGAGAGGTCAAACAAGCTGAGAAAAGAAGGCCTGCCACATCTGCTAGCTCCTGAGACGCCACCTCGAGGATTTAGCAGCAGGGAAGCTGTGCAGAGAGGGCTACTGGACAAGGACGGCACACAAAATACTGCACACACTTCATCCTGCCAAGAAGATGAACTGGCATCATTAGCCACAGACATCGATGAGTCCATAGAGCAGCTGAACCAGCTGATTCTGGATTTGGACCCCACCTTTGTTCCTGTTCCTACTCGCTGTACCACCCTGTCCCGGTCTGCCTCACCCAAAGTTCCTACTCGCTGTACCACCCTGTCCCAGTCTGCCTCCCTCCACGCCAACTGCCTCAGCCACAAGGAAAACACAAATCTGTCAGGTGCGTGATCAAACACCAAAATCTAGTGTCTTTTTTAAAGTAGAACCATTTTAAGGGTCAGTTCACCCAAACAGATACATTCCTGTAGAGTTTTTAGTCATGATAGCCACCTGACTTTAGAGCTGACGGTGCTGATCTCTTGGTCAGCTGGTCCTCCACTTTGGTCCACTGTTATTGGATTATTGATGATTATCTGACTTTTCCTCTTTTGATTGAAATGTTGCTACAACTGTCAGATGAATAGGAAAATGAACTGACTCACTTCCCACCTCTGAGAACCTGAACTTTAACATTCCTATTTTCCTGCTCCATGAGTCCCAGCACTGCCTCTTCTACACCGTTTCTTCTCACATTGCTGGCACACATGACAGATATAGTCCTTTTCATATTCACCGGGATGTTGATGCTAAGGTCTCCATCCCTGATTCATTTTCAGTTTGAGAACTGTAGGTCATAGGTGTATGAGCACCATCATCGCTTCCCAGCTCCTTGAAAAAAAGGCAGTGGTTCCATCAAAGCTACCCTGGTTCACATGACAGACCCAGCTGATGAGAACAACCATGAAAGCTCCTAAATCAGGTCCCTAAGGGTTTCTGCCATGGTGGCCTGTGACTATGTGTCACACAGGGTTATGTTATGGCTGACATTTAACCTTTGACTGCATTTTTGTGCACCATAGGGTCAGTGAGAGGTCTAATAAATTCTCCTTGATTTGTGGACACTGAGCACAGGAAACAGAGCATGTGTTTTTGTATGTAGGTCAGAGAGTGTGTTGGGGGCTGGAGGTTGATATTTCCCCAGGGCTAATAGAAGCAGTAAATCCAATATTTCACTGCTCAGTTACTGAGTGTGTGTGTGTGTGACCGGCTAATGTGTGTTTTTCAAGAGGCTGTTTTGAGGCAGGCGTTTGTAAGTGATCAGGAATGCTTCTGAAGTTTGACACAGCACTTTGCTCTCCTGTGTGTTTGCATCATGGCATCCTTCTCCCTCTCATCACCTTGGAGCTGTACGCTTCAGAAGAGAAGAGACCTCGAACAAATACAGTGGCTATCAAGTGCTACTCACCCTCGGCAGGCCCTCTGGTGTGGGAGAGGAGCTGGGTTAGTTTCAGTTGCACTCACTTGGGCTTTCATGTGATTTAGAGATGATGGATTTTCACAGTGAAAGCTGAGCTCACAGTGTTCTTCATTGCTGTTTACATTTGGCTTGAATGTGAGCACATATACAGTACAGTAAACCTCTATTGTGATACATGTGTCTGCCACTGGTTTCTGGGTTGTGGTGAGATTTTGGTGTTTCCATAGCTGTTAGGCCATTTTTATTATTCCAGCTGTGCAAAATAATCCAATAAATGGATAAAGTTTATCAAATGTGCTCCTGCCTCTGCTGCCTACAATGATCAAAACATATCTCTGTTATCTTGCTTGCCAACCCAATCTAACAGCATAATGTGTATTAGCTACATTAGTTCGCAATGCAAAACATATTTGTCTCACAATAACGCCTCCAAAATTGTAACATTGCAATGTTTTCTGGACCAAAAATATTGTTCATTGCTTTATCTGTCCAACACTGTGCAGCACAACTCCTGCATTTACTACCATCGCTAAATATAACTCCAAACTCTGCACAGGCCAAGAGTTCATTTCAGTTTTTTTTTACAGTGTACTCAATAGGAAGGCACTTACGTGACTGGAGACATGACGTTACCTTGTAGTTTTGGATTAGGGAGTACACAGCTGCAACTGCAGTCAATGTAGACTGCAATCAGAGTCAGTGGAGGGTATAATAAAGTGGCTAAACATAATGTAGTAATGCAAAAAAAGCAGCTTCAGTGTACATTATGTGACATTTTAAATATGCAAGCTGCAGACATTAAATACTTTGTACCATCTCGTAACTGGTGCAGTCACTTCAGTGCTTCAACTGAAGATGAAAGTTGTAGTTTACTACTGACAGATACTGAATTAATGAGACTGATACTGGCATCAGTAGCTGAGAATGTTTAAAAATGATAACACAGATTAATTCTTTAACATGACCAGGAGTCGAGCTAAAAATTTCCTTAAATTTGGTTATTGAAGGATACAGTGGAAAACTTGTCACTGCACCCTAACGGACAGTTTCTTGTTATGTGCTGGCGGACATATTGTCTGATAATAAAATAATAATAAAAAAATTTATTTATAAAGCACCTACCAGCTCAAAGAGCACTAGGTGCTACATCAGGAAAAAAGCAAAAAATAAATAAAATAACAATTTAAAACCAACATCATCAAAATATCAATATCAGAATAAAAATCAACTAAATAGACATATGACAAGCACGATAACGATAACGATGCATTCAGCAACAACAACCCGAGGGCTCAAATATGTTTCTTATCAATTTGTTATTGCATTAGTATTAGATAAAGAAGTGATATCCATATTCACGTGTGACTTAGTGTCTGTATAATGCAGATTCTAGAGTGTGGGTGAGCTGTAGCCCACGGGTGATAATCTACTCACATCTGAAAAGTGAATGACTGGTTGTTCCAACAGATTTTTTTCCAACAAGATGCCGTGGTGTTCCACCATCTGCTTACTTAGTCACACAGTCTTTGTGCTGATGATAGCAGCTACACACTGCTGATACACAAACTGAAATAAGCCTTTGTCTGGCACAAACAGGCCAGACACCAGTCACTGTCATCACCTTTTATTGCCAAGTTGGCATCTGGTCAGAATAAGCACCAGTACTGTTTAATGCTAGGTTCTATACAAGAATAGACATAACAGAACAGATGCTGTGGATATTTAACTTCATAGAGGAACACATTTCAGATCATAATCTGTCTGACTATCTGGGTCTCTATTCTACCTTCCACGCTCCTGCCAGCCCCACCCTCACCCCTCACTTTATCTCTCTGCTCCTGATCAGGGTGGAAGGAGCAGAAGCAGGTCAGCGACGTACCAGGCTACACTGGTCTCCATAGCCCGCGATGGAGAGGGGGTGGACCTCAGTCCACGGGCTCCCCAGTCTACAGTCCCTCCTTCTCATCATCTCAGGTAAACACCAGTGGTGGAAGAAGTGTTTGGATCCAATTGGATGGTATTTGAATGGGCGTACTGGGCACAGGCCCAGGGGCTTAAGGGGTCGGGGGCCCAATGACCAGAGAACCATGACAGGAATGTTAACCTTTCCACTGAAAAGTCAATCAGTGATTACAGAATGAGTGCAAAAAGCCAGAAAACAAAATAAAGTAGATGCAAAACAACTATGAAGAGATAAAAAAAACACTTAAAAGAGACACAAAACAGACAGAAAAGATCACAAAGACAGCCTAACAACAACAAAAACTATGACAAACAACAAAAAGAGACACAGAATAACCACAGACACAAAGCCATTTGAACATAGATGCAAAACAAGTAAAAGCAGATGCAAAATCTCTACAAAAAGATGCAAAACGGGAAAAAGTAACACAAATGTCTAAAAACAACTACAAAAAGGCACAAACTTAGTACAAACGGTTCCTGTCTGTGAGTCTTCCTCCTAGAAATGTCTGAGAGGTGAGGGCCTTTTACATGTCTGTGCACAGGTGCCCACTGTCTCATAACCCATCCAGGAATATAACAATGTAAAAAAGAGCCTCCCTTGTGAGTAAACGTTGTGTAGCCATGCCATGTAGTCTATAAATTATGACAAGTAGTCAACACACAAACAGTAATCAGTAACCAGTATCTGCCAGGTAGCATGTAAACCAGAGGCCAAACTCAGAGGGAAAAGCACCAGGATTGTGCTGAGTGACACAATAGGAGGACGACAGTATGAGGGGGTGCTGTGTTTGGCCTTTGTGTTGGCTTGAACCTGAAACTGTTTGGACAGGCTCTGATCAGATTGTACCAGATTAGTTTGGGTTCAACTCCCGACTCCCTAAACTTTTATCACCTTTGTTTTACTGAATTGCGTAAATGAAAACAATAACACTGAGCTGAGGGTCCCCTGCTGAAATTATGATGGTCTAAATCCACCGATCTGCTGCCTCTCTTTCTTTGTTTTTAAAGAATTTTCTATTCATTAATATGGCTGATCCCTGCTGGTATGCACGTGTGTGGACTTGTCACTTTCATTAGGCTTTGAAAAAAGTCATGTTCTCAACATTCCTCCCTTGTTCTTTTCTTACCTGTTGTATTTTGTTGTTCTATTTGAAAGCATGGGTATATGTACAAAACCAGCAGCGGGGACTATCAGAGACATGCCGACAGCTCTGACATTGTTCCACAAACTCCAGCTTTCCCAGTGTCTCCTCCAACGCCCTATGGTAAGAGATAACATCACAGTAGACTCGTCTGGCTGTCGGTGTGTCTGAATTTGAAATCTCATCAGCGTCTTCCTTCTTTTCCCAGTGAAACTTTTCTCTGAGGGCTCTCAGCTCAGGACTGGTGAGCGGTGGGAACAGCACAGCTGGGCTCAAGGTACGCTTTCCCAAGTTACCATATAAATGTGTGTGTGACTTGGAGTATACCCAAACCCAAACACTCAAGCTCCTGATTGCTGCACAGGGTTCTCCTGGCATAACACACCAAACACCTGCATACAAACATGCACCTGGCCTGTACTTTGTTTCTTTGACTGGATATGTGGCTCTGTTTTTGAGAAGTTCTGTCTGGTTAGAGGGAGACAGATGTTTCTGGACCTGTGTGCTCATTAGTTTTGGGTTTATGGCTGGAAGAATTTTTAAAAAATCCATGTATATGTCCTATCAGGGCTGTGCAAGACAGCTGATACTGGATGTCGGCTAATAATACTTGGCGATAGCAGAGGAAGAGCCCACTGCTGGCAGGATGTCGACTCGCGTCCTGTTCTGGGAGGGGGCAGGAGGAGAGGGGAGGGTCTTTTGTTGTTGGGGCATCCTGCCTGAGGAGCGGTGTCGCACACAGCTGCAGAAGAAATTTACTGCAGTGTGTCTCAGTGATTGAGTCTCATATTTGATCTCAGCGGCTCTCATGTGAGGAAGCCAAGGCCACATATGGTGTGGTAATGTAAATTATATTTATGAGGTGGAAAGTTAATGATGGAAACAGAGATGATGACAATACAGTAGGCCTGAAATGATACATGTACGTGAAAGGGGTGAAAGCTAGTTGTAAAACATTGTTCCATCCAGAAGAGCACCAGCTGTGGTGAACCTGAATCTGTAGTGGTTCCAGTGTTTTAACCAACAAACACTATAACAACGCCCAGGAGAGCTGCTCAGTTCACTTCTTCACTGTCTACTCGTATGTCCAGTGTGTACAGTCACTGACTTTCTGCTCATGCAGCAGCACAGCGGCTTGGTGTCCCACTGCTGGCTATATAATGTGTGTCAGTATTACACACTGGATTGATTCATTCATGAAAAATGCAGTAGCACCCGCAGAGCCATTACCAAAACAAGCCAAGAGTGAGTCTGACCACGAGGCAACATCTGAGTCTGGGGTTCAAGATTTTGTGTGAGCACAAATCTTATCACACCATTCAATAGCCAATTTCATTTGTTAAGGGGGACCACTTCACCTTCCAGTAAGGTCAGTAGGGCAGTGTCATGTGCCAGACCTTCATCATCATAGTTACGGTAATAAACATGGAGCATATGAGGTTTGTGCTAACTTGGTTAGTTCTGGAGAAAGATACTGGGTTAAAATAATGACATAAAGATTGACTCAGTTTGATATGGAAAACAAGCTGCTGTCTCCTGCTTCAAAGTCCTGTGTGTTGTCACCCCACCCATGCACTCCAACCTCCTAGCTACACAGACTTTGTTCCTCTTTATACAGCATGGATGTGATTGTTGTTTGTGTCATAACTAACCACACTAGAGGTCACGTATTTGTACATATCAATGATGCACCCTTTAGCCTACTGGTAAGTGCAGTCTATCCCAAATAAAGTATGGTCAACATGTCTGTCAGAGCAGAGAGACCTGTAAAAGACAAATTAGTGTTTGGAAAACACCTGATTCTTTCTTTCTGCTTGACAGAAGAATCAACAAAGGACATAGAATGTCTCTTGCTCTTAGAAAGAGTTTCCTGTTTCTCACGTTAAAGGCAGAGGTGGTCGGCGAAACAGTTTGCCACACTGGGACCGAGCTGTCTCATTCCCCATTCCAATCATTTTTATTTAATGTTCACAGTCATTACTGTATTCAGAGTTTGACCCGAGGCTACTTCAATGTGGGGAGTAATTACAACTTCAAAACAACAGTCCTCTCTCCTGCAGAGTTCCCACTGTGCTATCACCAGGCTGATCATACTGGGAATGCTGGGACTGTAGCAATATGTGCCAGTGTTTGTGTGAGCTTCTGCAGCTATTTGCAGATATAAAGGATTGAGATGCTGATGTTGTTATTGAGGTCAGAAAGGTAAAACTGGTTGGTCAGGATTAAGTCTATGCTGCATTGGGTAGAAAAGGGAACTGTTTTTAGTTTATTAAAAATACAATTTTGGTATATCACTCTCACGTCTGTATGTTAATTTGGAGCCAGGAGTCAGATAGCAATTAGCCTAGCTAAGCAGTTAGCCTAGCATAAAGTCTGGAAGCAGGAGGAAACAGCTAGCGTGGTGGATTTCAAAAACAGATTATTTGAGTTATGTGTAAATTTTACATAATTTTTGGGAAACCACAAGTACACTGCCTTTGTGTACTTGTGGTTGAATGAAATTAAAAACTGATACAGAAGTTCTCAGGGCGAAGAAGCAGGTTTCAGCTAAGGGATGCAGATGTTGTTTTGAGCTGAGGTTTAGTCAAGATAGACAAACACTTGACTGTTTGAACCTCAAGGGTCAAAGGTCAAGGGAAAATACACGAAGTGGCAGAGAGGACAGCGAACTCAGGGAAGCCTCTCCTTCCTTCCGATGATGTGACTGGTTGTTCATGATGAATGAAAGAGATTTGAAGTGCCATTGTGGATCCCAAACAGGTTGTATAATGATGCTGTGGTCAGTCTTTAGACTCTATCATAAAGAAAAGGGCTGGAAGCTTATTTATTCACTAAGACAAACACTGTAATTATGTCTATGATTTCAACTCAAATACATACGGTTGACTTAAGGTTTGGGATTTTAAACTTCTAAATGAATGGTATACAGAGAGAGATTCAGTCTTCACAACAGCACTTTCCACTAAAACTAAGTTGCTAACATTTTCTGACTAACAGTAATTATACTGAAAAGTACAGTATGGTGTGTGTTGCACTGGGTGATACGTTCCTCTGTTAGTGCCACATGCACTGTCCTGCTGCCACAAATACTCGCTACAGAACCAAATGTGGCTTAACTGGCTTTAACAAATTCAATATTTCATTTCCCTTGAGTAATGTTTTTAAAGACATCAGTGCCCAGCTGTTTTACAAAACCACTGTGCCTTCTTTTAAAATTGAAACAGTTTGTTTATGTTTTTAAAAATGTATCACTGGATCTGAGAGCCAGGACCAGGAGGACAGAGTTGAACTAACATTGTTGGTTTTGGCATTTTGATTGGATTTAGTGTTAATAAGAAAAATACAGAGTATTCTGTTAAAGGATACTAATGTTTTTCTAAAACAAAGGATGGAACCTCTAAGCTGATGAACGAGACAGCGCTGAAGTCCATTCCAGTTCATTTGCAGTGAGACAGAGGTGAAAAAGGTGCACGTGACATATGCTTCCACTGAAGCAAAAGTAAAGTCAACGCAATTTAATCAAGAGCTTTATGGTGTAATTTATGATGTGCTAAGATTAGACACATGGCAGGAGACTCAGTCAGTGTGTCTGCATGCCTTTGTCTCTGTGACGAGCAGATGGTGGGAGCAGACACATGCCCTGACAGAGAGGCTATAGAAACCCCGAGACACCATCGCCACATCGCCATCAACCACCTCCTCCCTCTCTCCGTGGTCCATAAAAGGCCACATGTGACCTCTGACCCCACTGGAATCTGCTCTGATTGGGTGAAAGTGCTCGCAGTGGCCCAGCAGAAACAATGCTCAGTGGTCAGTGATAGGAAGAAGAGGGAGGGAGGGTATGTAGACAAGGATGGAGTAGAGGAGGGGGGAATTCTCTACCTCTCTGTTTCCCCTCCCTCCTTCTTTCTGTCCCTCTGTCTATACAAACCCAGAAGCTGAGCGGTGTCACAAGAAGCCAGGAACAAACAGGGAGCTTATTTTTCCATGTGGGGGACGAAAAGAACTGGGCATGGCTGCGAAATGACCCAGCCCCTGAAAAAAAAGCTTCAGCGAATGGAGCTCAGATTGCTTTTTAGCAGACACAAGTGAAAGAGAGAGAGTAACAGGGAGAGTTTCATTCACGCTGGGAGGCAGCGCGAACCAGAAACAGACTTTGGAGTAGGAAGGTGAAGGAGGGATCCTAAGCGTTGGGGTAAACAGGAAACCGGCTAGTTTCAGGATACTTCTGAGAGTGTCACCAGCATGACCGCGTCTCTCGGTATGTATGTGCATGGTGAGCATGTGCCATAAACACTGGAGGAGTGTGTGTGTGCACGTCTACAGTCCAACAAAACTCATGACTTCATCTCCATCTCTCTGAGCAGTTTAACACCTTTTCTTCTCTCTTTATTTTCTTTATTCTTTCCCCTCTCTCACCAGGCATTTTCCACTGGCGTCTGCTCATCCTTTCTCTTGTTTAGGCAGTGTTATCTCTCCCTCCATCCCTCCCGGGAATTTTAAGGAGGGCATACATGCACACAAACACTTTTCCTCTCTCCTCTAGGTCTCTGGTATTTTGCAGCTTCTGGAATCAGATGCCTTTTACGTGTTTCCTCTCACCTCTCTCCCTTTTTATGCATGAAAATACATGCTTGTGCTGTTGATCTAATGCTCTGGACAGCAGTGCCTGCAGAGCCTCCGACATCTCACACTTGGTAGGATGGTGAGGTGATTTGTTCCACTGCTGTGTTCATGATCTCATTCTGTCAACGGCTATTTTGGCCTCCATCGTGCAGCCACATAAGGCTGATGTATTGGTGGTTAACCAAGGGAGGCCGTTTTCCCCCTTTTTCCTGCACTACTGACCTGGATTGAACTGAAATGGTCTTTGAAGATTCTTGTTTTTGTTGGGGTGCTTATTGCTTTGGAGATTTCCCACATCTGCCAGAGATGCCATATACCATAAAACAACATGTTGCTGAGCCACAAGTTTCAAGCTTTTGCAGCAGTTTCATAAACAAAGATCTTTGGAGGTCCAGCACATATTTTCCACATTTGCTGAAAGTGGAACAATAAAATACAGCAACAACTTGGCCATTGAATTTTTGTTCTATGCCACAAATAATAAGTGAAATTCTTCAGCTTGTATACTTAGATTATAATTATGCTCAACAGTAGAATAAGAGCTGAGACAGTCTCTTAGAAGCATAATCAAAAGCTTTTGCTAATTGATTGTTTAACGTTTATCAAACCTAAATTTCAGACATTCTCTAGTTGTAGTTCCTCATTTGTGAG